TATGGAGAAACTACTGAAAGTTTTATTTTTTCGATTGATGAGGAAGATATTAGAAATTCCATAATAAGTCATGTAAAAAATGCTAATTATGCACTAGATCATTACAGTTATTATGGACCGATATTTGGGAGTCGAGATTTGGCACTGGAAGATAACTTTAAGGAGGAAGCGAGAGGTTATTGTAAAAAAAAATATTATGATAAACCTATTCGAAAGAGCGAAGAAGGGTTTTCCGTAGATGATTACGAAGTTTTCCAGGTTGCAGACAGAAAAGTGTTTTTATAATTTTACGATGATAACTATGCAGGAGATAATTATCCAGAATTAGTAACATTTTTTTTATTTTATTATATAATATATTTTTATTTAATATACCACTTAATAGTTATTTTCTTTTTCTTTTTACATATATGTGTAATATTTCAATATATATTTAAACAATAAAATATTTATGTTTGATATATAATTATTAGACGATTGACTCGTCTCTAAACATTCTAAAAAAATTTTCGAATCATTTTTATTGTACTGATCAAATAATGTATAATCATATTCCGTTTGGCTGCGCAACTCATTATCGTTATAAAATTTAAAGGTAAGGTGAACGTCGATCATTTTTACTAGGGATCACGTTACTAGGTGATAATTATATGTTATTTATACCGTGTAACCTAGGCAAATTTTGATTATTTTAGGAAGAATTAATGATATATGAGTATATTTTTTTGAATATAACAACAGTTTTAAAATTATATCATTATAATTAGAAGGGTTTTAATGAAAAAAATTGTATTTTTAAAAACTTTTATATGCAATAAATGTTTAATAATTGTACGTATAAATTTTTTTAGACAATATACACATTTAGAAAATGATCTACGTTTACCCTGACTGAATAGCAACCTCAAAAATTTGAAATAAAAAGTAGGAATGCAAACAGGATTTATTTTAATTATCTCAGATTTGTCGTTTAAATTATTTATAATTTAAACAAATTACTCTATTATTTCAGGTTTTTAGTTTTAAATGTGAAGTCTTTTTATAAATCATAGTTTATTATATATACGTATTATAAATAAAAACAGAATTTAAGTTAATTTGAAATTTTTTAGTTAATTAAAATTAAGATAAAAGTATTCAGATAATAAAATCAATTTCAAAATGCTAATTTTGTATAAAAATTTAAAATTCTGTTTCCATTTATGATATATATACAGATAAGAATTTATTAAACAATCAGTATTCAAAGATTTTGATTAAACTAATTTTGACTGTCTTTAATATTTTTAAACAATAAAAATAAACATGTTGTGTTATAAATTCTATTAACAATTTTTAAACCAAATTTTTTAAATATAAACATATAAATAAATTTATAAATTGATATTAGAGTTTGTTTTTTTTTAACTTTAAATTAATTTATAAATTTTTAATAAATAATACTAACAAGCTTAAAATTATTCAAATCCAATTACAGAATCATAAAATAATGTGTAATCAAATAAGTGATGCATTTTATATGTTGTACAATTGGTTAGACATAACATGAATCTGTCTATATGAATACCAATAATTTTACGACAGGGTGAAACCTGCGCTGTGAATTAGTAAAATCTGACATGAGGGTGAAATCCTAAACGCGAATGTGAGTAATATAAACTCTTAAAAAGGAATAGCCAATCAGAGAATGTAAATTTTGACTATTTCGACATAGAATCTGAACACGTGCTAAAGAAAAAGTGAAAATATAGTACTCAAATACTAGTGTTTAAATAGACCTTTGTGCACTAATTAAAAATGTCGAGAATGAAATTTTATATATAACAAGTGTTAATCTGTTTTTATAGCCTCTAACATTAAGACTAATCCCAAAATTTTATTTCACGCGCGCAGTTTATTTACGAAATCAGATTTCCTTTTTTGCTGTTTTGTAGCGAAAATAGTTACAGTCAGACAGACCTCCCTAAATGCATAGCCTCTCTAAATGCATCGTTTGCTTTGGCCTTAACTCATATGATACTTATAGATTTTTACCTCTTTAAATGCAAAACCTCTCTAAATGCAAGATTTTTATAGACCCTCGGTTATACACTTAGAGAGAGTTAACTGTAAAACTCGAACGGACTCCCAAATCAAGTCTGCTTACAGTAAGGTTTTCCTTTCTGGATCCACGAGGGTTGGTGCCCCTCTCCCTAATTCGCTTCTTAAAAGGACGAGGTGCCAAGCCCGTACTTCAATCCGTCAGGTGTAGGTTGTTTCCATTAGTTTCATCAAATGCCCTTCTTTGGAAGGATTCTCAAAAACGGACTTCAGAAATACATTCGATCATAGGTTATATGGGTGCAGCCAGATTAAAACCTGTAAGTAAAATTTTAACCTCTACGATTTTGCCCAGCCTTGAAACTTAATTGGTCAATAATTTGGGTCAAAGTTTTACTTACAGGTTTTATCTGGCCGCACCCATATATCATCTAAGACTGGATCCAAAAAAATTATGGGACTAGAAATAATCGAATTTTGATTAGATATCGATATGTAAATGATCTAATCCAGCATTTACGTTTAGTTAATATGTCGCGTTGCCAAGAGAAACAAGAGACTTCGGGACTTTCAACTTTATCACTTATTATTTTATATGTCAGCAACAAGATTTTTTCATAAACTAAATTTGATAAATAATAAATGTGGTCCTATTTTCTCTGGCAGCATTTACCGTATTTTCGCGAAATAACGCACAGGGAGAAATTATGAAGTTCGGCCTAAATTAAAGCTTAATTCGGGCCATTATTCGAAATAACGCCTATGCCCGTTATTTCGCGAAAATACGTTACTATGAATCTCGCAAGTTTTACACGTTTTTCACCTAATTTTGAATCGACACCTTTACTAATCAAACCTCAATCAATTAATCCTTTTTCTTAATTTTAATTTTATGCAAAAGCTTATTCGAATTAAAACATATTATTAAAATAAACAGAAAATTTGAATTTATAAATTTTCTAAAAGATAAACTTTTGAAGAACAGTGATTGAGAATCGCTTTGAGATACCGGCATAATTGAAGTTGATGTGATCGATTCATTATGAGGTAATTTAAAAGAATCATTACAACACATTTGTGGAATTAAGGAAGTAAAGCAGATATAGAATATTTAAGTTCTCATTATGGAGAATTTAGCCCCTGAAGCACTTCGATATTACGTACTGATAAACAATGTTTTGATAGTTCAGTAACAATACGAAATTTTACTAAACGACTAGGACACTGATTATATACATGATTAATTACGTAACATCAGAATTCACAAGACTAAATGAGCTAAACTCGCCATGATGAAAACTTAAATATTCACTTCCAGCTTTTCGCTCTGCAGCACTCATTTCATGTAATTGTGATTTTGAACACATGACATTAGTTTCTGAGATCAAATTTTTAGCGATTTAGGAGTTACAATTCGGATCGTACATTCAAATCAAATGATGCAATGATGCTGACAGATCTTTTTAAATATGGTACTTTATGAATAACATGATGAACTTAATTTTCTGAAACTTACGTAAAATTACATGTAATGTAAAATTGTAATTTATGTGACACAACCCTGGAAAGCAGGGACGCGATTTGTTTTAGTGCGATTCTTAACAAACTACACCAAATCGCATAATTACTGTCAGATTCGAGTGCAGTAGTACATCATAATTTAAATCAAGACAGCTGGAGTGAAGGTGCGGAGTGGAAGACCTCTCCTTACTCTTCTAAATTTTGGTTCCCACCCCTGTAATTATGATAAATCTCGATTTTAATCTATCCCATGTAGAAATTTAATCAGAAATTCAATCATTATCCTTATGAAAAAATAAAATTACGTAATGATAAATATAAATAAGCGAAAGTAACATTGATTAGTACTTTATTGATTAAATAAAACATCAATTAGTAATTTACTGTATTGAGTAAAATGGAAAAAAATAAAAGAATATATGTACCTGAACAAAAGGATGCAAAAATAATGCTAGGAGAAATATATTAGCTTAAGAACAGTTATATTATCGAAGGAAAAAGGCAAGGTCGGCGTAAAACGTCAAAATCATATTGAAAAAAATTTATATTTGTTAGAATCACTAATAAAATATATGTCCATTTGTATTAACTAAACCTTTTTTTTGCCGCTACTACTTGTATTTATGTATAAAACTTTGTAATGCTCCAGCCCTATGAAATGGCGCCGTTTTACTAGTGTACATGAAGTCAAATTAAATTGACTCACTATCAGTAGTCAAACTTTTCAAAATTTAGGGTAGTTTACAAATGCGCCGTAAAGATCTATGTTTAACCCATTCAATTAAGTTTTATCTTTTACCGATTCAAATTTACCAACTATATATCTTTTTTTCACGACGAATCCACTTTTAATACACCCTGTGTAGCATTATAACTAGTTGATACTTTAATAATTTCCTGTAATTTGATATTTTGTTAAAAAAAAATAGCAATGCAAAATCGATATTGGTTCTTATTTCTTAACAATTCATTACTTAGAACAAGTATAAATCAACAAATTAAATGAATAAAAACAAACTCGAACAAAAGGATTAATCATTTTTGTATTTATAGAAAATTTTATAAAACCAGGTTTACTAAATGCACCATAGGTGTCGAACACCGTAGTCACTATACCTTAAAAAACTGGGTATATATTGATACCTTCAAAAACATATAATCTTTATAATATATATTTTTATTTATATATAATGTTTAACGCGTCAATTTTTTCTGCCAACACATTTCATATTTTTATCCAGATAAAAATATATCTAGATACTCATAGCTATGACATAAGAATTCATGAATTAACACGTGTGTGGAAAGGTTTATTAAAAGCTATAATATGTATTAAAAGTTGTCAATCGAAAATTAAATCATGATTACATCATCAAAGAAATTCAATATATATAAAAGGTCCGTCTAAAAGAACGTATCCTTTATTTGAATTTTTAACAATGTCACTTGTAGACCTTAGTTACGGTGTGGTACGACGCCAAGGAGACAGAGATACTCAAATGGACAGATTTAATATCCATAGCCATTTTTTTGATGAAAAAGGTTATTCACTTTTTCTCCTCTATGATGGCCATGGCGATGAAAGATTTTCAAAGGTTTTTCTATAATTATATATTTCCTTTTTAGACTTTGTTATTATCAAATTTAACCCATATTTTTTAATAGCATGCAAAAGAACATTTAGCAGATTTGATCGAAAATGATATCGAATTCAGTGCCAAAAATTATGAAAAAGCATTTATTAATGCTTTTAAAAATGAAGATGAACTTTTAAAATTGACATTTGGACCCAGATCATTTGGCGGAACTACTGCTACAGGTAATATAAACTGTCATTTGTTACTATTATTGAGAAATTGTTTTACTCTTGTGAAATATTTCTGTAATTTCATTACATATTTTTGCGGTAAACTATAATATACCGAAATACTTCGATTTTGAAAAGTAGTTTCACGCCCAACATTATTTTTAACTAATTTCGATTTATTATGTAGCTACTTTGTTATTCAAATATTCGAACGTGTGTTATGTCGCTAATGTTGGTGACAGCACTGCTGTGCTTGGAAGTATTGCTGGACATAAGCCTGAAGCCATTCCTGTCAGTTACGATGATAAAGTAAATGACTCTCAAGAATTTAACAGGTAAATACCATATTTAAAACATATATAATACTTTTAATGACTCCATACTTCGTATTAATTAATAAAATGATCCCTTAGACTTGCATCTGCAAATGCCAAGATCCGCAAGGGAAGACTTATTCGTCCGGGTCATTCTGTCAACATGACTAGAGGTAAAAATTGTGTAACTTATGGCTTCAATATCTTTCCATATTTAATGTGATTATTTTCTTGAACATTATCCAGCCCTTGGAGATTTTGATTTTAAAGCACCATTCACGCCATCTGGGAAAGATTGGATTTCTTCCATCCCTCACACTTTCAAAATAGATTTGATTCCTCATGTAAATATCTTTAATATTATCACAGCAATCTAATTGTCATAGATAGATTTATTACTAATTTTTTCTTTACACATAGGAGGATGAATTTTTGATTATGGCCTCCGATGGTAAAAACTTTTTTCATAAATTTATTGCAAAATCGAATCTTATAAATTTTGAATTCCTGTGGTTATTTGAATACTGTATTAGGTGTCACCAAAATATAACATTTCTCAAAATATCTCGTTATAATTAGGATTATGGAATGTATATGATGAGCAAACAGTTGTAGAGAGTGTCGCAAAATGCCTTGATCACGGTTATGACGTTAACAAAATTGCAAATATTCTTGCTGATGCTGCTGCCAGTTCCGGAAAACCAAGTGATAATGTTACTGTTATGGTAATTTTCTTCGTGTGGAGTAAAGATTAAAAAATATTTCTACATTAAAGATTTTTAATGTTTCATGAAGTCTTGATTTAATTCTAAGGATTCGTCAAAATTCTTTTAAGATCAATTTCTTTTAGTTTTTATAAAACTTTATTTCAAAACCTTTCTTTTATGGTATATTCTGATAAGTTAAATAGAATTTAGAGTTTTTTCAACCTAATATTTGGGAAATCCTATAGTAAAAGGTGGCATCAGGTTAACAAATCAGATTTTAGATTTTATATAATATTTATTAAACTAAAAGTTATTTTTATAAAAAAAATTTTTTTATTTTAATATTAATGGTAAGGTCATACCTCTAACTTTATTGAATATTTAATTGAAATTTTTATATAAAATAAAAATCTGGTTTTAAAATACTTTCGCAGCATTATAGTGTTATGGCACTACCTTATATCAAAATATTGGTCTAATATATAAATTAAAACAAATAAATTTTAATTATTTTGATATTAAAGTAAAGGTATAGGTTAAAAGTTAAGGTTAAATAATATTTATAGTAAAATATTGTAAGAAATTTTTTTTGTTAAAGTTTAGAAAGTAGTTTTATAAACAAAATTTTGAGTTTTAATTTTTTCAAAAAATCGTATTGTTATTATATAAAGTTACTTTTTATATTATATTTAATCTTAAATTTTAATTGGTTATCATGTTTTAGAATTTATTAATTAAATTATCAATAATTATTTTTATAAAAAATCAAAGTTTTTAGATTGCATTATAAGAATATGATTTTTTTTTTTTTTTTTAAGCAGTTACACTAGTATACTTTATTAAGATTTTTAAAATAAGAAATATGGTGACTTAATGAAGTGGATAAGTTGTTAACCCTCCAAGTGGTAGGTAGTGAGTTCAAAACTTATTGATGATAAAAATTTGAATAATCTTTTATATAATACACAGGTAATATTATAGCAATAGCATTTTGTTAATCAGTTGGAATAAGATATTTATAACTACAATCATATCAACATAACTAGCAGGTTATGGTCATCTGTGCAATGTTAAAATTACACAAAGAAATGCAAACTGGTATCAGATAGTAAAAACCTAAGATAAGTTCTTGTGGTTATATAAATTTATAAAACTGAAAAGCTAGAGTCTATTTGAAAAGACTTGAGTAGAAAGGTAACAGGATTTTTGATAGTACTATTATAAAGACTAGATTTAGGAATTGAATACTAATATGAAAGGAATCAGGTAAGCAAGAACTTCAGATAAAAGATATCATCAACCAAGTTATCAGAAGTCTTGAATTAAAAAAAAATAATCTTAAAGAGGAAGACTCTTGGAATATTAAGAACAGGTCATAGTCCTTTTAGGCTATTTGAATTGGGAGTCTGAGAACCAAAGCAGAGTATAGTTAAGTACTAGGAATATGCTATAAAGTTGGTATTAGAGTCTGAGTAAACTTTATAAAACTAAGTCCTGTTAGCAAAAATTAAATATAAGTTATTAGTTAGCAGAAGGGCCTTCTGAAGTCCTACAGTCAGATAATATATTCTAAAATATGTAACAGCTTGATAGATGTACAGACAAAAAGGTTAAAGTTAGATTAAAGAGCACCATTTAGATGTACAGAAATTTGTACACTATCTGCTAGTATAATATAGAGTCACTTTATATAAGTTATATAATTATAATTAAATTTATAATAAAGACAATAGCTGTCGATAACTAATAGTCTTAGCAAAAGCAAAAAAAAAAGATTTTTAAAATTATTTTAGTAATTAACAACTAAGTTTAGCATTACTTAATTATCTTAATAATATTTAAATGCAACCTATTATACTATTTCAAACAGAAGCAGATTGCTTGTCTGACTACTTAAAATTTATAATAAAAAAATCTTTTTTCTTTATAACAAGCTTAACATTATCTTTTTAGTTTTTTTCAATTTGTTTTTCTTTTTTTCTTACTTATTTTTTTTTTTATTTCATATTAATTTTTTTTTTTTTATTTAGATTCTTCTTTTTTTGTATTTTTTTCTTTATTTTGTCTGTTATTATTTTTTTCTATTTGTTAATTTTTTTATATTATGTTCTTTAAATTTGTTTATTAAAGATATTTTAAACTATTGTTATAGAATAGATTTCTATTATTGTATTATTTATTAGTTATAGTTGCTTTAATGCTTTAAAACATTTAATGC